ATAATAACGTAAAAACAGACTTAATCTATTGACATTAAACATCCCGCCATGGAACATGTCATTCTAATATATTATTACACACGGGAACATCATTACATAGGCTTTCATTTCACATTGTAGTACAAATTTCTACCATGTTCACTTCTGTATGACTGCCGGTGTAACGTTGAAAATTGACTCCCGTTGAAAATGGAACCGGGGAGCCGTTGAAAACTGACTTTCCTGTTGAAAATGGACACCATAAGAGGTCAATTTCCCACGTGTAGGCAGTTGAAAACTGACCCTTTACTTTGTCTGAAGTACCAAAATGATCTCGTGTACCTATGCGTCCATCGTCCGACCTAATGAGGTCAGTGTGACCTATTTTTGAGATATTTGCAATATTTGAAATACACTAGCAGAAAGTATCATGGGGTTCAGAAATAGGCATATTCTGTTTACCTTAATTAGGTATATTTGACCTACTTTTGAAAATTTGACCTACATTGCTAAAAAGTTTCATTGGGTTCAGAAATGAACTCAGAATTGTTATTTCACCTAATACGTTCAATTTGACCTACTTTTGTAAAAAAAAAAAAACTATATTACTAAAATTTGCCATTTGGTTCAGAAATGAACTTAAAACTTTAATTACACCTAATTAGGTCACTGTAACTTACTTTTGAAAATTGACCTTGATTATTAAAAATTGCCTTTGGGTTCAGAAATGAACCTAGAACTGTTGTTCAACCTAATTAGGTAAATTTAACCTACATTTGAGAAATTGACCTGCATTAATTAAAAATTGTCATTGGATTCAGAAATGAACTTAGAACCGTTCTTTCGCCTAATTAGGTCACTGATTTAAAATTAGTATGTTGCCGATGGTAGTAATATATGTTAACATGATGGTACTCATTACCTTAGTGTTCACCCTCATATGTCACGATAAATATGCCTCCATACGTATCGTTTGCTAATTTAAGTATGTATGGGGTTGATTAATACTTTTTTTTTAAACTTTGTTGGACTATAATAATGAACTAGATGAAATAGACGAGATGTTGAATATTTATCGCATTATTTCATCATGTAAATTATATATACATTTTCTCCTAAGGAGGGGGCTCAGTTGCAATGAACTACATAAATAACCTAATAATTGTATCCTGACAGCACCTAAATCGATTATTGTAAATGTCAAACCGCTGTATTTTTATCACAAATTCATACTACAGTCATGATTGTCAAATATTTTTTAAGCAGTTTGACAGATACTTTCATTGTTGTTTAAAGAAAAATAGGCCAGCTTGACATTACTTTATCAATAAACCGCCTCCATGCCCAATGCCGTATAGTATACAGACTACTAGTAACTATCATATACATCAATCAAACCTTTAATATACAACTGGAATAGAACATCGCATGTTTGTTAATATGTATGGAAAGAAATATTAATCTGTTTCAAAATATCAACGAGTTTCACCATCAACTTCATTGCTATATTACAACAAGAGGACCGCAAGTAGGAACACTATACGCTCGTCCCATGCCAATCTGACATCTTAAAATTCTTATGATGCATTTTTGTATCTAAAGGGAGAAGATTCGAGGACTATTCCTGGAATTTTGTGAAAGGAGAGTACATACTATACTTTACCAACTTAAGCTGAACATTTCACATATCCGTTATGACCGGTGAAATGCAATTGCCTCCCTATTGTACATAATTCAAACCATGAAAATAGATATTGAAACTGTCCCTTATTGCTAAATATCTATTCATCTTACACTATTTAAGCCAAATATATTTCTATTGCTTACTAATTACTGGCAAAGGATAAGTGTATATAAGGCCCTTTTTTGGCCCCGGTATATCCGGATTTTCACCTCCTTTTAAAATTTGTTCAAAGATGTCTTATTCATCACATGCGCAAAAAACTAAGGCAAAAGTTTGACCGAAAGTGGGTTTTTGGGATACAAATTAAATATCATCATATAACTAATATCTATGCTAAGTTGCATGCTTATCCTAAGTGCCTTTTTATATACAATTAACCCTTATTAGGCAGAACAATTCATAAAACAATGAAATGGGTTAATCTAACAAATAAACATACACTTTTCTTGAGGCTTGGAGACTTAAAATTACCATCAAATCAAATTTCATATATTAAATTCATGATTTTTTCAGTAGTTGTGGTGGCAAATGCCATTTTTTATTTGTAAGTTAACTTTGATCATTAAGAAAAAAATCAGGACCTGGCCCCACTTTTATAAAACATCTCAAAGTTGAGGAAAATCTCAAGCAATGTATTGTTTATGGGAAATCTTAGACTTGAGGAAACCTCAAGAGTTGAGATGTTTTATACAAGTGGGCCCAGGAACTCACTTCAGCCACAGGTGTTGAGCAAATATTACATAATATATATTATATACAATATTAACTATTTATATCTTATACTTATAGCATATATGGAGTGTCCCTTATCACTTAAGTTGAGAGATATTTGAAATTGCCAAGTTTGAGATGCGACATAACTCAAAAGTATAAAACAAAAGGAAAGTGTATCGTGAATATGCATTCCATGTAAGTGTATTCAAACGAGTACAGTTGTAAATTTTAACTCAAAATATAAATTAGAAAGGAAATTTTTGAGAAAACAAAACACTTTTTATTTGAAAATTACCTCAAACAACCCCATGACTTAATCCTCCATTTTAAATAACAATCTTCAATTGAGGTTTGAATTTTGGTCTTTTTTCATTCTATTATATATGCCTGTCTAATGTACACGTATTTCCAAAAACAGAAATGGTATTGTTTTGATTGTTTATTTTTTATTTACCTTACCCCTTTTGGTACACAAAGAACTCACCTTCGGTCAAACCTTTGTCTTAGCTTTTGCGCATGTGATACAATAAAACATCCTTGAACAAACTAAGGAGCTGAACATCCGGATACACCTGGTCCAAAAAGGGCCTGTCATATTTGACAAAGGTGCTATTACCGTCGACCAATCAGAAAGCAGTATGCTACATGTTATAAATTATGTGTAGGTTTTGCTCACCTGAAGCTTATTATTCATCATTGTATAATACAAATATTGAATCTGGTCATATTTGAAAAAGTTATTGTGCAGAAACCGTCAACCAATCAGAGCACAGTATGATACATGTAATATAGTATGCGCGGATTTTGCTCAAATTCGAACTTAGCCTCAGCCTGTGTATACTGTATACATGCATACATATGTACCAGGTTTCATTAATTCTAACGATGTTTATGCAAATTATCTTGCGGAAACTTAAGTTTTGAAATTGACCAATCAGATCACAGTAGGCTAATTAATTAGTTCGTACGTAGCCTCAGTCATTGGATACTGTACATGCGTACCAAGTGTGACTCATCATAATCGAATGATATTTAAGCAAGATATCTTGCGGAAACTAAAATACAAACGGACGGACGCTACCCATAACATACGGGCAATGAATAAATAAAACGGCATATTTTGTTATTAAAGATGGAAAATATTAAAGAATTCTGGGTTGGTGTAGACTTTATTGGTGATATAACGGTTCTTTATTAATTGCAAGTAAACATTGTGTAATATTTTTTCTCAGTCTGCATGTATTACGTTTTATCTGCATAATTGAATGTAAATGAAATTATAAAAACTATGTCCAATCGGTGGATAAATCATTGTGACACAACTTGTTTGACATTAATGCTAGTATACATGCTAATACTGTCGCAACATAATATTCTTCTTTTAATATCGCCAAGCGGTAGCGTTTGTAATAAAATATCAAAATGAAAACAGGTGTAGTCCAGGTACATTGTTAGCTTGACACACAAGTGTAATCCCTCAAAAGTTACGTACCTGTAGTGGTCATCTGACCCTTTTCGAATTGTCCGTTAGGGAAGTTAATTACATTTCGTCTTTTGTTTGTATTCATATACTATTCAAAGAATTCCCGGCTCAAAATTCAAATTTCACTGTTGAATATTGACCCAGGGCCATTTTTCACAATTGATTATTGAAAGGTATTATAATGTTCTGGGGTCAATTTGCAAGGTTGAATATGGACATGGGACCATATTCTACTGTTGAATATATAAAGACGACAACATATTCAATATTAAATACTGATCAGGAACCAGTGTTGACGATTGAATATACAAAGTCGACGTTATGTTTCTGAAATCTAATTTCAACGTTGAATAGTGACAATGGAATATGGAATGGTGTCCAGGCGCGTAGCTGCCTATACGCTGGTACGCAGACGAACACACCAAATTTCAAGCAGAAAAACATCCAAAACAATGCTTTTGCACCCCCTTGTTCCCCTACAATGTCACCGCTCCTAAATTAATCCACTTCGAATAAGGGCTATAGCTACGTCCCTAGTGTAATAATATTCTGTGGTCTACTTTTAAGTTGAATTTAACCCTGGGACCATATGTTATCCATAAACATTCTTGTTTCATTTTGGGACTGATCAAGATGTTGACAACATATCAATCTACCAGATAAGAGATCAAAAAGATCAAGCTCAGATAGAATTAAGGAAGATCTAACGATGGTGGGAGCAATGATCCCACTTTGGTCTTTTGTTTGACATTTCAATATGAAAAAATGACATTAAGTTCTAGGGTCCATTTTCAACGTTAAATATCGACCCACGACCATTTTCGACAATTGCATATATTAAAACGACATAATGTTTCTGGGATCCATTTTCAACGTTGAATAAGGACCTTTGTCCTTTTTTAACAACTGAATATGGAAAACTGTAATATTTGTTTAGGGGTCCATTTTCAACGTTGAATATGGACCCGGGTCATTTGCTTTGACACTTAACTATTAAATATAAAAAGTTGTCATAATGTTCTGGGGTCCTTATTCAACGTTGAATATGGACCCACGACCATTCTCGACAATTAAACATATGAAAATGACATAACGGTTCCGGGATCTATTTTCAACTTTTAATATGGACCCGGGGCTACATTTTGACATTGGACTTGTGTCATGTTTTACTGGTGTCCAGTGTCGACGTTGAATATGTACCTATGTCACATTTTGACTATTGAATATGTACCTATGTCACATTTTGACTATTGAATATGTACCTATGTCACATTTTGACTATTGAATATGGAATACTGTAACAATTTTCAGAGGTCCATTTTCAACGTTGAATATGGACCCGGGTCACTTTTTGACTATTGAATGTTAAAAGGTTTCATGATTTTTTAGGTCAATTTGGTCAACGTGGAATAAAGACCCGCGGCGATGTTAAGTCATTCAATGTAGAAAATTGTCGAAATAATTTGGGGTTGTCTTTCATGCTCAACATGGACTAAGGTAATTTTAACCAGTATTAAATTGAAAAGAAAGTATGAAAAGTAGGTCACAATGACATTCTTATGTCAAAACAGTTGAATGTTTGTTTTGTAATCCGTTGACAATTTAAAAAAATACATGCATGTTGTATTATGTAGTTTGATTTTTGAAAATTATGTCACAGGGACGTGATTTGGTTAACATCTTTTTTTCATTTTTGCTAATTTCTGAACCAAATGACATTTCTAATAATGTACGTCTAATTTTGAAAAGTAGGTTTTAGTATAATTTCTGAATCCTGAAACAATTTATAAAGTTGAGGTTAAACCAGAAAAAAGTAGTTCTTATGTACTTGGCTGGGAAAAATATGTGTAAAGTTCTTAACCCTGTGACAACGTCTTTAAATATAGATCAAATTATTTGGTCAAAAAACGGGTTTTTTACAATCTCTTTTTTCCGATGACTATTTTGGATAATGGAGGTCAAACTTTCAAAATAAGCACACGGTTACCTAATGTTGTCAAACAACTGTTAAATATTACCTATGACCCTTTTTGATAATGTAGGTCAAATTTTGAAAATGTTGTCTAACATCTGTTAAATGTTTATTTTTGACCCCTCCGACCATTTTTGCTAATGTAGGTCATATCCTCAAAACTAGGTCACAGTGACCCAATTAGGTCCAACCACAGTTTAATGTTTATTTCTTCACCCGATGACAGCTTTTTATAACGTCAGTCAAATTTCCAAAAGTAGCTCACATTGACCTAATTAGGTCAGACATCCATACTGGGCTGTTTTCTGGAAATAAGAGGCAGGACTTTATTAAGCATAATCTAAGTGGATATTTTAAATCACTATATTAATTTTTCATATGGTTCACTTTTCGACAGAGGTCCATTTTCAACGTGTAATTAAGTAATGTTATAATACCAACCAAACTTAAGAAAACCTATGATCTACGGGACTATGCGATGTTGATATCAAAAAACCACGGTGTGATAGGAGTGTTTATATCAAATAGTTTGGAAGGTCGACAGTCATAGCCAAACAGCTCACAATCGGGTCCAAACAGCTTACTTAAACTGTCCATGTCCTTCTTATCTACCGTGGAAAAGGCCTCTATCAAAGCGTCGTGTTTGTTCTTTTTAGCTACGTTTTTGTCAACTGCATCTCCCATTCCTTGATATATCAATGCCGTGAGGGTTTCTTTGGTCAATCTTTCACTTTGATCTTGCCTTATCGGGTATTTGGAATTTTTACTGATAACACCTCGAATTTGAAACTTTTTCCACATTCGTTGTTGCGCTTCAAAGAATGATACTTTACAATCGCGGTACCCTTTATGGAATGCAAATAGCATGTTCACTTGATCACGAATAGTGTCATTTAAACTCTGGCCTCGAAAATCTATCTCGAGCGATTTCTTGAGGTTGGTTTTCCCCATTCGATCTAAAAGATAAAACGTGTCTTCTGAAAGGGTTTCGAGTGTACCTATCACATCATAGTTGTAGTGACATGGATCACAATGTTCATACTGAGGTGTAAAATGGCCGTTCCGTTTTATGTTGTGTTTATCAGAATAGAGAACAGTCTTAACAAACTCGCTGAACGTCAGGTCATGCCCACATCTCAAATCAACACTGCTGGGATTCTTCCTGAAAATTGATATTCCGAAAGCACCGATATTTCTCCAGAACATTACATTTGGTGAAAACAACTTGTCAACATAACCCGAGAATAAGCGTCCATATGGCTCTCTAACAAACATAAAAGATAAGGATTTGTCCACGAAGTCATCTGCTTGATTGTCACTCATTAACGCAATGGAATCGAATTTCTTCAGGGCCGGTACAGAGGGGTCGAAAGGTGAAGTGGCCTTGGATTGTCCTACCACAATCTAAATAAACAGGATGTTGATATATAATAATTGCATGCACGATGTTATATTTTATTTACCATGGCTATTTTTATCTAAGAACCACAACCCTGCGTCAAATACTCGTTCAAGGAAACATTAAAAGTGAAAGCAAATAAAGCAAAACAAAACAAAACAAACAATTATTATTTCTTTTCCGATTTGTTTTTAGAATATGACGCACCGGTTAGTAAGCGCACGGGTTAGTAACCGCACAGTTAAACTACCTCAAAGTGTTATGCATTAGTTAATTACATGTATCAGACAGTTTCGCGCTCCGGCTATTTACATCAAAACGTCCCATTTTGATGTTTACAGTGCCGTATTAAGAAGTATAAAGTGCCGTATTAAGCAGTATAAAGTGCCGTATTAAGCAGTATACAGTGCCGTATTAAGCAGTATACAGTGCCGTATTAAGCAGTATAAAGTGCCGTATTAAGCAGTATATGAAGGATCATTTACAAACTCTTAACGGATTGATACCCAGACGAAACAAACAAGAATGAGAAAACGGTAAGAATTTTCTATCTCTAAAGTCGTGCTAACCTTCACTAGCTGCTGGTAGCGTGTCCTGGTAAACTTCATGTGCCTTTCTCGCACTGATTATCTGCCTGTGTGTTGATCCTATTGTGTTTCAAATAGTAAATAAATTCTAAACGAAATGTAGAAATGTGAGGTGGTCTGAAACGCTGATAGCGTTGCTATTTTTTAAACATAAATTTTACACATTTTTTACCAATGAAATACAAGTTTTATTTTACAATATTGCTGATGTTTCTCTTCAGTGATAAATATCACTAAATAAGTACATCGACCAATAAGAGAGTTTCATGTGAATAATAACAACTTATGGACTTTGAGGTCTCACGGACTCCCTGACATTTTCTGATTGTGACGTTATTTATTATTTGAAACCAATACAAAACAGCAACTCAGTATTCATGGTTGTAAACTGAAGCTTGATGTTAGTAAATAAACTTGTAATAGATGATAGTAACAAGAGGCCCAATGGGCCTGCATCGCTCACCTGGTATTAATCTCACATTTGTAACCTTAAAAGTGGACAAAAATCAACACAAGCAAAATATCGGTACTTATGACTGTAAGTCATTCAAAAGAACCTGTTAATAGATTTTAACACATTTGACCCCTGTGACTAAGAAAGTCGAAGAAGGTCATTACGTTGAACAAACCTTTCGGTTATCCAGAAGAAGTTGTTTAAAGATTTAAAACGTATTTGATCCCTGTGACCTTGAATATAAGTCAAAGTCATTGATTTTAATAACCTTGATAGCCCTTCATCCAAGCATGCTCTAGCGAAATATCAGCAATCTTGGCTTTTCGGTTACTCAGAAGATGTAGTTTAAAGGTTTTGAGCATATTTGACCCTGTAACCTTGAATATAAGTCTGTAACCTTGAATATAAGTCAAGGTCATTCGAGTAAACAAACTATGTAGACCTTTATCCCAGTATGTTACTTGCCAAATATCATCATCTTTGGCCTTCTGGTTATTTAGAAGGTGATCTAAAATGTACATAAACAGAACTTTCTGTGTTTCATAATGAATAACCGGTACAATTTGTGTTTGTTTCCCTCCTGCGTGACAGTCGGGCACGTGTTGGCCTATTGGCCTAGCACTCGTGACGTACATAGCAGTTATCCAACAAGAATATTTTATATACAGAGATAAAAATATTACCCTATACACACGTTTCCAAAAAGTGGACGCCGACTTCTGTATGGGACAGTAGGCTAGTCGCTGTGGTCGATCAATGAGGATATTTTTCCTGCCATTTCCTTGTGCCTTCTGACCTCTATACTTGTATCTAGGTTCTGTACATACTGTCGTGACCCGGTCTCGTCTCACTTTGTAGATATCCCTCAATTCAGATGTATTGCTGTTGTTTGCTCTGACATTTGTAAGACTTGTTTCTCGAACCTGGAAAGAATCATCACCACACAAACTTAGATGACAAAAAAGATTATCATGTAGATATGACTTCAACCAGTTTCACCTATTGAAGTTCAATAGTGTAAAAAAAGTAATAGAGGATATTTAATGGTGTCTTCAGTTATAACAAACATATTTTATGAATGTGGCAAATATTTTGATATTTTTAACGAGTGCCACACGAGTGAAATATATTTGTTATTACTGAAGACACCATTACATTTTCTACATTTTTAAAGCATAAAACACGAAAAATGTAATGTATTAAAAAAGGGGCGGGAATCAGAAGCGTAATAATTAGCGCCATATTATAATGACGTCACGCTTGACAACAAGGCTGCGCGCCATTTTGAATGGGATACTCAACGCAATTCCGACGTTTTTTGCTATTATCTTGTATGATTGCTTATAAAAACGTAAGTAATTGTATATTTAACGTCTGTGAAGGCAAATTCGTCACATTAGTAAGGGTTTCTGTTAATAATTCGACCAAATAGGCATGTATCAACATGTCGATAAGCACCAATACAGAAGAAGATTCGACTGAAATGCCTATAAATAAACATTGTTGTAAAACACGCCTGAATGGCGTCACGCAGCAACATTTGTGACGTCATCAGGCCTTCCGTGGTTTTGCTCAAAGGTGCAGGCAGTTTCGCAACCTTCAAACATTTAACTTATTTACAAGTAATCTAAGTTAGTTTCGGTAACTTGAAGAAACTGATTAATGTTGTTTGAGAACGATGACGGGTATCGGCTGAGATGATGTCAATTTACATGATACGCAATAAAGACTCAGTCCTTTACCAATTTAAACGTCCAAATCGCTGCCCAATATTATATTTTTCATCGGTGAGGATGATGAGAGGGTCCAGGGCTTTCAACGATCGCCCTCCCCTTCTATTTCTATAACCATACATTGTAAGGACATTGTACATTGTACATTGTACATGTACCAAAGTACACTTGCAGAAAAACAATTTACTTGCATTAACTGCAATTAGTGTTAAGATATGGGTATTTTCATGTTTATGTAATAAATTTACACTAAATAACAACCAACTGGCCTCAGATTAATGAGTTTAACTGACGAGATGTCCGTCGCACAGACCAATTTTTTAAGATTCGTTGTGTTACAAGATATTTTATAACTGTTTTGATTAAAAGTATAGCTTTTCCCTTCTTATACCTCTTATTGTCAAAATATTTGAAGGATTTAACTGTGTTGAAGACTATGGTGACGTTATTTACGTCACATCTTATGTATTATGACGTCATATGGCATTTTCGTCACAGGGTGGCGAATTTTGGTGCATGGCGAATTTGCCTGCACTAACTTTAGGTAAATATCTAAGTATGTGTACCAAACATTTACCATAACAACCACTTATTCTACCGTCGCTTCATTTGAATCTGAACGAAAACGCGTTTCCTTTGAATGCAGCGAAAAGAAGATACCGTTATGATTGGTCAATACCAAAAAGTGGTATTTTCACACGGTGAAAATATCACTTTTGATATTTGTCACAGTGTGAAAGATATCAGTTTTATCACCTTAAAAAAATCCGATACTTCTGAGTTCACCGGCAAACATGTAATAAATTCATATATTTTATGTATGTAGAACTTACAGACGACTATAGATACGAGCAACACACGTGAATTGTACTCTTTTTAACCCTTCGACTGCCGCAGGGCCGATTTGCCGCAGGGCCGATTTGGGCCGATCTGATTTTTACGTTGACTGCCGCAGGGCCGATCTGGGCCGATCGGCTTTTAACGAATTTTAACGTCACGCTCGGCATTGTCCATGACGTCATCAATTCATGTGACATGAGACGATCTGGAAACTATTTGTTCTGTGAGGCGATTTATGCTCAAATTTCAATCATTGTAATCAATTATATCGGTATCGCAGACGCACATATCGTATACCAATGGAAAGCTGAGAACCCGATCTTGATGCTCGTATTTAAAAACAATGACATGCTTTTCCCTTTCTTTGAAATACCCGACATAACAGATATAAGCTTACCTTTTCATCTGGATTTGCTTGACCATACATCAGATATGCTTGATGTGGTATTTCTGAAAATGAATGTTTAGTAACAAACGTCATTCAAAATATCAGAAAGAAACAAATAAATAAACGTGTACACATACATTTATATTGACATTTCCATTGCAAGTTCCCCTTTTAGCATTACCAGAGAAAACTGTGTTCATAGAGTCATGTACGTTACAACCAAACATGTTTGTGACAATAGATTGTTCCAGGGCTCTCGTTTACGCTGACACAGACACTTCATTACGTTAAAACAAAACATGTTTGTGACGATATATTGTTCCAGGGCTCTCGTTTGCACTGACACAGACACTTCATTACGTTAAAACAAAACATGTTTGTGACGATATATTGTTCCAGGGCTCCCGTTTACACTGACACAGACACTTCAGTACGTTAAAACCAAGCATGTTTGTGACGATATATTGTTCCAGGGCTCTCGTTTACGCTGACACAGACACTTCATTACGTTAAAACAAAACATGTTTGTGACGATATATTGTTCCAGGGCTCCCGTTTACACTGACACAGACACTTCAGTACGTTAAAACCAAGCATGTTTGTGACAATAGATTGTTCTAGGGCTCTCGTTTACACTGACACAGACACTTCAGTACGTTAAAACCAAGCATGTTTGTGACAATAGATTGTTTCAGGGCTCTCGTTTACACTGACACAGACACTTCATTACGTTACAACCAAACATGTTTGTGACAATAGATTGTTTCAGGGCTCTCGTTTGCACTGACACAGACACTTCAGGATTAAAATATAAAAGGGGATACTTACATTTTGCTAAATGATAACTTAAAAATTAGAATGTAGATATAGGGCTTGAACGCCATTTTCTTCATGTTCTATATGTTCATACAAGCATGAAATTTAAAAATGCCTTTTAATCCTTAGTTGATATTTTTCCAGGTTCAAATTGATATAACCTACATTTGGAAAACATATTTTTTACTAAAATTATAAAATCAATCTTGATAATCCTACAACTACTGCAGTAAATGGTAGTTTCTAGCCTTGGTAAAATGTGATATATAATCTTCAATAAGATAATTTATTTATATCTAATCGCAAGGTTGAGCACCATTGTATGTGTATTTACCTGAGTTGTGACAGAGACTGAGGGGTGACACACATTGATATCTATCGTTTTAGGCAGTAATTTGTCTGCACCTCTTTAACAGTACGTCACAATCAGGCTGATACCGATCTCCAGCTAGGGCAACGTATTCTAATCACGAGTTGACGAATTATGTAAGGTTATAAAAATGATCTCGTTTGCGTTCCCTATTTCATCGAATATTTACTCTTGTTTGGAAGAACTGTAATTATCAAAACAATTAGTCTTATAACATAAATTATCTATATAACTTAAGCACCCGGTGTCGTGTCAGGTCTTTGTAGCTCCACCAAACATTTCGCCGGCATTGAGAACTACATTGTATCTTCTCAAACCGGTACCTCATTAGCGGTATCGTCCCTGAATTATGTTTCAGTTGTTTCCTTATATGCCAAATGATATATGAATGATATTTCCAATCCAGTGAATGTTTCTAAAAGAACTGTACAGACAATATTTCATTTTGAGGAATAGTATCGGTAGAATCCGTATAAGTCTAACCATTACAACAGTAAATCCGCTCAAAAAACAGTCTCTTGAACAAAACCGAAATTCTGTGATATCTTCGGAAGAAACACAAGTTGTTCTTGGTACAAGATAAAAACGCTTATAAATGGAGAGACGCCAGGTAAAGAGGCGTTCTAGGTGTCCTGGTGCACAATCTAATCGACTGAGAGGTGACACAGACTGAGGGGTGACATAGACTGAGGAGTGACACAGACTGAGGGGTGACATAGACTGAGGAGTGACACAGACTGAGGGGTGACACAGACTAAGGAGTGACACAGATTGAGGAGTGACACAGACTGAGGAGTGACATAGACTGAGGGGTGACACGGACTGAGAGATGACACAGACTGAGGGGTGATAGACTGAGGGGTGACACAGACTGAGGGGTGACACAGACTGAGGGCTGACACAGACTGAAGGGAGACACAGACTGAGTGGTGACACAGACTGAGGAGTGACACGGACTGAGGGGTGACACAGACTGAGGGGTGACACAGACTGAGAGATGACACAGACTGAGGGGTGACATAGACTGAGGAGTGACACAGACTGAGGGGTGACACGGACTGAGGGGTGACACAGACTGAGGGGTGACATAGACTGAGGAGTGACACAGACTGAGGGGTGAGGAGTGACACAGACTGAGGGGTGACACAGACTGAGGGGGGACACAGACTGAGGGGTGACACAGACTGAGGGGTGACATAGACGGAGGAGTGACACAGACTGAGGGGTGACACAGACTAAGGAGTCACACAGATTGAGGAGTGACACAGACTGAGGAGTGACATAGACTGAGGGGTGATACGGACTGAGAGATGACACAGACTGAGGGGTGATAGACTGAGGGGTGACACAGACTGAGGGGTGACATAGACTGAGGAGTGACACAGACTGAGGGGTGACACAGACTGAGGGGTGACACAGACTGAGGAGTGACACAGACTGAGGGATGACACGGACTGAGGGCTGACATCGAATGGGAGAAAAAATCTGGGATCAATGTGTACGGTCAGTGGTAGCGAAATGTTTTAACAACAAGCCCTCATTCCTAAAAAAAATCTCAACTTTTATTCCTTAGGTTTGACAACTTATTGGATAACTATATTTTACAATAAATAGTCATTTGTCCATACATCCGAGAGAAAAAAGACAATATTTGACATAATTAACCCAGTTAAAGCAGTTGCCTGTATTGCTACTACTTAAAAAAGAATACGCAGTTTGCAAAATACAATTTTTCGAATCCATTAGTTTTAACCAATATTTTATCATTCTGAATTTTCTTATATATTCCAAAGGATATCGACCTTATTCAAAATAAACCATTGCATTGCAAGTCGACTTCTTTACTTCTTACAGAAGTGTAAGTGTACCCTCTCAATATCTGTACGCTTTGTAGATCCCCAAACTTCACATGTAAAATGCAATATACTGCAAACATACGTATCAAATAAATGCAATAACGTTGTACAGTTTAGGCTCAAGTTAGAATAGCTTGAAAAAAGAGCATACATGGCCTTTCGTCCTTGGTCAGATAACTGTTTCTGTATATGACTGAATCTATTATTGAATTTAAGTTTTACTCCTAGGTAGCTGAAAACATCTACAACTTCCACCTTCAAACCATTATACATCCATCTTTCTCTATCTCGTATACGACCTCCATTTCTAAATACAACTATTTTGGTTTTCTCAGTGTTAACTGTTAATTTCCATTTAATAGAATACACATTCAGATTATCTAAAAGACTCTGTAAACCTTCAATAGTTTCGGAAAACATTACTAAGTCATCCGCATACATGAACAAAAACTAAAAACAATAAAGGAGATAATATTTCCGCTTGCATTAATCCAACATTGTACCCAAAATAATTAGAACATTTACCGTTAATTGATACACAAGATTTAACTGATTGGTACAATGACTTAATGACGAATAACATTTCCCCTCGAATATCAAGCTTAGTCAGCTTACGCCATAAGCTTAATCTATCAACAAAATCAAACGCGTTGCGAAAGTCCACAAATTAAAGCAACAGTACAAACGTTTCTTCGAAGATAAAGTTTTCGTTATAATGTGTAAATTTATTAGTAAATTGTATTTTGGTGTACGCAACTTTAGCCTTTGCCAAGGCAGTTAGAGTTAGCTCCCTTAGCTCCCCATGCTAGTTCCGGTCTTTTAACAGCATTAGCAGAGCAAGATGGCAGCAGCCTCACAGTGCTTTATATAAATATAAAATCCAGCGACATCGCGATGAACGCTTACAATCTAAGAGAGCGATCAAGCTCACTAATGACATTCCTCCAAAACTGTGACAGCGAGGAGACCGATGATAATGTACATCGGAAAGAAAATGCTTCTCAATCTAGTGACGAACATCAGGGTGATGATGGCCGGCATGATGCCTGTGGAGGCCCACCACCATCAGCGATGAGTGACAAACCAGAAGCCGAGCTCGAAAAGGAACTCGATAGTTTAAAAGCGGAGTTAAGAAAAGGGGCTCTCTGCAAGGAGATCGAATATTGTCGGCGGAAAATTTATGAACAAAATCGCCCCTTCGTCTCCGCCCCTCCACGTGATCGCCAGGAGGGTGGGTCATCAACAGAGAGAGAACGACCCAGCACTTCAGGTATGAACAATTTACTTGACTTAAATTTCCAGACACTGCTGCAGAATGTGAACAATACAAAAAAGTCTAAACCCCGCCTTGTACACAATTATCTTTGGCGCGATCCCACATTGATAGACGAGGACGAAATCGTCACATTCACCACCGCAAGGGTCAAAGTAAATCGTAAAATGGACAAAGATGACTACAAAATCAGCGTTGAACAATGAGGCTATGGTAATAGCAGAATTTTAGAAGAAATGATCGAGGCAAACGAGGTGGATGTTCGTGGTATCCGTGACTACCTGGATTATACAAAAACGATAAATCGACTCTTCAGCAAGTATGTGCGCGGCAGTGTTATGCTGTATGACCGGGAATATCGGGAGGCCCAACATAGTGAAGGTTTTCGATGGGGAACGCCACAAACCGCGATACAGAACTTTCAACTCGTACCTAAGCCAAACAACCTGACTGCTCAGGTACTTCAGGGTACGACGGTAAATTCAAAACGAGAGGGACAAGGTCGGGAACGGTCGACCCCACGAAAGCGTGGACCGTTTACTCCGGACAATCGAGAAATATGCAGGAAATTTAACAATGACGTGTGTGATTATAAATCGTGTAAACTTGCGCATGTCTGTTCGGTGTGTTATGCGGAGCACAGTGCGATTCATCATACAAACAAGGGATAGATCATGATCAGCCCAAGAATGAGGCCACTGTAAATAATGTACAAACTAGCTACAAGTTGAAATTGGAAGCCTGGCAGTCCCTCTTACCTGCGGATGACTTTGATAGGGAGTTTATTTTAGAGGGCGTGGCTACCGGTTTTCGCATTATCGATGAAGGTCTAGAGAAACACATCGTGCCCGTGGAGGAAGAAAACTATGCCTCTTGTAAGCAGTTTTCTGGTCTGGTCCAAGATCAGATACAAAGTGAGATAGCAAACGGTAACTATGTGATAACTGAGACAAAACCAGTGATAATAAGTGCGTTGGGGGCTATTCCAAAGTCAAAAACAAAGGTCAGACTAATACATGACGCGAGTCGCCCTACTGGTAAATCTATAAATAGTCATGTCAAGAGTGACTGTTCGTGTACTTATATGGACCTCCGGGAGGCAGCCAAACATATTTCACCTGGGTGCTATTTAGCCAAAGTGGATTTAGCGTCGGCTTACAGATCAGTAAATATCCACCCATTGAATTACAAAGCAACAGGTTTGAAATATCATTTCGATGGAAATGACAATCCAACATATATGTATGATACAAAATTGCCTTTTGGGGCATCCAAAAGTCCACAGATTTTTCAAAAACTCAGTAGTGCTGTATGTAGAATATTAAAATGTAAATATGGTTTCACAGCAATTGCCTACTTGGACGATTTTTTAGTGTTTGGCAATACTTATAATGAATGTTACAATGCTATGTGTAGATTGTTACAGCTGCTGCGACAGCTGGGTTTTGCGATTAACTGGTCCAAAGTAGAAGGTCCGGTAAGACAGATCATTTTTCTAGGCATAATGGTCAATACAATAACAATGACTTTTTCTTTGCCTAATGACAAGCTTCAGAGTTTCTCAGACGTGCTAAGGGAGTTTTCGGTACGAAAAAGGGCAAGTCGCAAGCAGCTTGAAGTATTAATAGGTAAATTAAACTGGGCGTCACAAGTAATAAGTGGGGGCCGCACATTCCTGAGGAGAGTAATTGATATGAAAGACAAACTTTGTGCCAATTCTCATAAGATACTTTTGACACCGGATTTTTTCGCGGACATAGGGTGGTGGATTTCATTCATCTCCGTTTTTAATGGCAGCTGCACGATTCATGACCCAAAACCTGTCACATCATTACAAACAGACGCGTCGTCGGACGGCGGGGGAGGTTATTTTAACGGTGATTATTTCTATGTGAATTGGAAATTGGATTTACCTCCCTTGGCTAACGAACATATAAACGTGAAAGAGTTTTGTGCAATATTTTTTGCTATTTGCCGCTGGGACAAGGTTTTGTGTGATAAGCGCGTCGTGATCTACAGTGACAATAAGTCTGCAGTGTCTTGGATAAACAAAGGCACTTCGAGGAACAGTCTAGTCATGCATCTGATACGTCATTTGTTTTGGATTTGTGCTATAAACAATATCGCTCTCAAAGCCATATATTATCCAGGAGAGTGGAACCGAGTTGCGGACACGTGTTCTCGACTACACGAGAGGGACAAATTATCATTATTGTACTCGTTGCTTCCTTCCCTTGCCTACAGTGACTTTTGTGTACATGAACTGTTTCAACATATGTCTCTATTGTTTATATGCTGTAGGTGGTTCAATGGTGGAGGAACTGGAGAGAGCTGCAATAAAATACAAAGACAAGGCATGGGCTAGTACTACAGCATCCACTTACCGTACACATATGCAGTGCTACTAACTTTTTGCGGAAGTATTAACTGTACATCTGTCCCAGCAGCATCGAAAGTCCTTCAACTATACGTCACTTACCTAGCTAAGGTTCGAGGATTTCGGTTCAACACTATCCAACAATATCTCAATATTGTGGTTCACATGCACAGACTGTCGGGTTTTGGGGACCCTGTGAACAAGGACTTTCAACTCAAACACCTACTCCAAGGTATTAAGCGCGAGCTGGGTACAGCCCAGTCACCAGTGGGGGCAATCACACCTCAGCAGCTTCATAGAATCAAGTCGACCTTGAACTTTACCAATTTGTCGGACATTACGTTTTGGTGTGCATGCTTAATTGCGTTTTATGGGCTCCTGCGCCCTGGGAACATTACGACCACTGGCGCATTTGATGGAGACCGAGATGTTCGTCGCATAGATCTTCTCCCTTATCCCTGGGGATATTTGTTGTGTTTACGCCGAACCAAGACTATACAGTTCAGGGAAAAACGTGTTGAAATCCTACTGCCCAGAACGGGGAATGATCTATGTCCTGCTACAGCGCTCAAATGTCTGTAGCTTATTACAGAGGCAGCAAATCCTCTGGGACCTCTCCTCCTAGTTAACGGTGGTTTAGCTCTCAGCTACAAGTGTTTTTGTGATAAATAGCGCAACTGCCTATGTCAAATAGGGGAGGAAGGCTCGAATATTCGAGGCCACTCTTTTCGTAGAGGAGGGGCCACTTGGCTTGCCAAGTTAGGGGTCCCACTTGACACCATCAAATCCATTGGTTATTGGGCAAGCGATGCTGTGTTTAGATACATAGAAACAGATTTTTCGCAAAAATTGATAACGGCAAAAGAGTTTGGCATGTCATTGTGTTAAGGCATCAATGTCCAGAAATTGCAAGGGAAAGGGACTTTTTGTGTGAGTCTAAGACGTTATTTTTTTTTTTAATATTGCAACAATAACGACCCCCAATGTAATGCGAAAGTTGCATTAATCGTTCTAAGTTCTGGACGAAATTCGAATTGTGCATCAGTAATAGGGTCATATTTTGTACACACATCTAAAATACGTTTATTTAGTACAGAGGTAAAAAGTTTACATAGACAACTTATTAAACTAATACCTCTAAAGTTATTAGGGTCATTTAAAACACCTTTCTTATGGACAGGAATAAGTATGGCTGACGACCAATTAGAAGGAAAATAACCAGATTCTAGTATATACATCTGTAATTAAACAACGTAGATAAAGTTGGAAGAAGTAATTCCTCACCAGCTTGTAAACATTCATTTAACAAACCATCAGGTCCATGTGATTTACCACATTTCAATTTCCGAATAGCATTTTTGACTTCTTGTAACGAAATACGAACATCTAATTACTCAAAAACAGTGTCAATCACTTCGTCATTGTTATCTACATTAACATCAAAGTAACAAACTCAATTATCTGCTTGTTGTTTGTTGTTTTGGGTTCGTATGTATTTTATTTGTAATTTTCTGTGTCTACCTGAGCTACGGGTGTGTGAAATTAACAGTTGGTCATGTATTTGTAGCTAGGTATCATCTCATTTCACTTTCTCTTTTTTAAGAGTTAATGTAAATTGAAGCAATCGTACATTGTGTACATATATCAACTGGGAACCGCTAATTTAATTTTATTTGTGATGACCTCATGTGCCTTTGACACAAGATTCATCAACTTCCAGACAAGATGTGAATTTAAAAGTAGAAAATAAAAATATATTATTGCAGAATGACTTACCTTTCTTATTTTGAACATGGTTCCTTCCTATGTATAAAGCTAGCAGAACTAATCCAGTTACACAGAGGAGTCTTGTTCGCGATTCCCGCATCGTTACTAGATGACGGTGTAACTAAACCTGTGCGCACTTTTAACGTAACACTTACTGGAATGTGTTCCGGGTGTGGTGGTCAGGCTAAACTTACAATGTATTCACACTCGAGACAGCTAGACAAACGTTAGCAATGCTCCTGTACTTGTATTTGTCCAATGAAATTTTGCTAAAGTTCTAAACGAAATACAGAGTGTACACCATTATGGCATCACACTTAGAGTCGGTGTCGCGTGACAAGACGGACACGTGGAGAAACACAATACATATGTAAACCCATTGAAGTACGTTATGGCCGAAGGGAAATTGTCACTGATGGTTTTAATACGGTGTGCACCCAGGCACGGTATATAGACATGTATCGATATAACCCATTACAAGGACATGATGTCCTCAGGAAAAATCAATTATTCAATTTTCAGAATAGGTCTTTAGGTCTTTTGAGCTATTTTCATGTTATTTTCTTTTTAAAATAAAACGACACACATTTAATAGAAGATTTTATTTACATTTTATTACAAAATACATCGAATAAAAGCATGAAAAAAAGAACCTAATGACTTTGCTTTATTTCTATAAAAACTAAAACATATAACTGCATACAGGTATAAATTACAGGTAGATTTAATTATATAGGTACATGTATTTTACAGTTATACAGTTCAATCGGCAGAGTGTGCTGGACCTGACATACATGTACACGCATGGTGCAACTGTACTGTTTTAGCACATATTAAGCGCAGATGATTTTTTGTATTTTCTAAAAGAAATGTAAAAGCCTAAAAGTTCATTAAAAATGTCAAAACAACAACTAAGAAATAGCAGAAAAACGACCAAATGCATGTTGAAGATAGAAACTTAACAATTTATAAATCCTTTTCATTTCTATAATTTGGCATTCTAATTGTGGTATCGTCCATATTATATTGTTTGAATTCAACTAACTTTTTGTTTGACACCAGTGTTGGATTTCTACAAGCTCGGATGAATCTTTTTTACTTAGAATTGTACTTGAAATGCTAGCTTCATGTAACACGTGCTCTCTAATCAGAAAATACAGAGACATTTGTTTTAGGTCATCTGAGACAAACTCTCAAGTGACCTTTTGCGGTCTCCTTTTGTCCGGCGTCGTGCGTCGTCCGTCGTGCGTCCGTAAACAATTTACATTTTCGACTTCTTCTCTAAAACCCATGAAACAATTTCAATGAAATTTTGCAGAAACCTTCCATGGCCAAAGGACAAGCAAACGATTAAATTATATGGTCCTCAGCACCCATGGGCCTGAGGGGCGGGGGCCAAAAAGGGTCAAATTAATAGAGTAAGCTTCACCTCCGTTTAACAGGAGTGAGTGTATTGGTCGTTGATATAGTAAGCTTCACTGTCGTGTAACAGGAGTGAGTGTATTGGTCGTTGATATAGTAAGCTTCACTGTCGTGTAACAGGAGTGAGTGTATTGGTCGTTGATATAGTAAGCTTCACTGTCGTGTAACAGGAGTGAGTGTATTGGTCGTTGATATAGTAAGCTTCACTGTCGTGTAACAGGAGTGAGTGTATTGGTCGTTGATATAGTAAGCTTCACTGTCGTGTAACAGGAGTGAGTGTATTGGTCGTTAATATAGTAAGTTTCACTGTCGTGTAACAGGAGTGAGTGTATTGGTCGTTGATATAGTAAGCTTCACTGTCGTGTAACAGGAGTGAGTGTATTGGTCGTTGATATAGTAAGCTTCACTGTCGTGTAACAGGAGTGAGTGTATTGGTCGTTGATATAGTAAGCTTCACTGTCGTGTAACAGGAGTGAGTGTATTGGTCGTTGATATAGTAAGCTTCACTGTCGTGTAACAGGAGTGAGTGTATTGGTCGTTAATATAGTAAGCTTCACTGTCGTGTAACAGGAGTGAGTGTATTGGTCGTTAATATAGTAAGCTTCACTGTCGTGTAACAGGAGTGAGTGTATTGGTCGTTAATAGAGTAAGCATCACCTCCGTGTAACAGGAGTGAGTGTATTGGTCGTTAATAGAGTAAGCATCACCTCCGTGTAACAGGAGTAAATGTATTGGTCGTTAATAGAGTAAGCATCACCTCCATGTAACAGGAGTGAGTGTATTGGTCGTTAATAGAGTAAGCATCACCTCCATGTAACAGGAGTGAGTGTATTGGTCGTTAATATAGTAAGCTTCACTGTCGTGTAACAGGAGTGAGTGTATTGGTCATTAATAGAGTAAGCATCACCTCCGTGTAACACGAGTTAATGTAATGGTCGTTAATAGAGTAAACATCACCTCCGTGTAACAGGAAGAAAATGTATTGGTCGTTAATAGAGTAAGCATCACCTCCGTGTAACAGAAGTAAATGTATTGGTCGTTAATAGAGTAAGCATCTCCTCCGTGTAACACGAGTTAATGTATTGGTCGTTAATAGAGTAAGCGTCACCTCCGTGTAACACGAGTTAATGTAATGGTCGTTAATAGAGTAAGCATAACCTCCGTGTTACAGGAGTGAGTGTATTGGTCGTTAATAGAGTAAGCACCACCTCCGTGTAACAGGAGTGAGTGTATTGGTTGTTAATAGAGTAAGCATCACCTCCGTGTTACAGGAGTGAGTGCATTGGTCGTTAATAGAGTAAGCATCACCTCCATGTAACAGGAGTGAGTGTATTGGTCGTTAATAGAGTAAACATCACCGCCGTGTAACAGGAGTAAATGTATTGGTCGTTAATAGACTAAGCATCACCTCCGTGTAACAGGAGTAAGTGTATTGGTCGTTAATAGAGTAAGCACCACCTCCGTGTTACAGGAGTGAGTGTATTGGTCGTTAATAGAGTAAGCATCCCCTCCGTGTAACAGGAGTAAGTGTATTGGTCGTTAATAGAGTAAGCATCACCACCGTGTAACAGGAGTGAGTGTATTGGTTGTTAATAGAGTAAGCATCACCTCCGTGTTACAGGAGTGAGTGTATTGGGCGTTAATAGAGTAAGCATCACCTCCGTGTTACAGGAGTGAGTGTATTGGTCGTTAATAGAGTAAACATCACCTCCGTGTAACAGGAGTAAATGTATCGGTCGTTAAGGTAACATGATGTGATTGTGTGTACGATCATACATGTTCTGGATTTAATTAGCTATCATAATGATACATTATCATAGGTCGTCGATATAAACCTGGAGTTAAATAGGAAAAGTTCAATACCGGAGATACTGAAGCTGGGGCTAGCAGAGACACGACCACGCCTATAGTAGCTAGTTAATAGGCTGCGCCAAGATAAAGCGTACATTTTCCCTTATTCTAACTGGTTAATCGTTGGTCTCAGGTTCGCCGAGATAAAGCGTACATTTACCCTGATTCTAACTTGCTAATCGTTGGTCTCAGGTTCGCCGATATAAATCATATTGACCCCGTGGTTCTAAGTTTGTCTTTCATGTGAATAAATTAACCACATGTTTCGAAATTTGATCCGGAATTTCATTCCGAAAGCCATGCCATGATTCTCCCTATTTGTATATCTAATATCTCGTGTTATCCTAAGACATGCTAGTTAATGTCAGTACGTTGTTATATAAACGTGATGGGGTAATATGGACCTCGGACTGCGTTAATTGAGATTTATCGAACGTTTGAGTTTAGTGTGTAATAGTTTTGATTGTTTGTGATATCAATATGATATATGCTTACTAGTTCATTTGGTAGGTCCATTAAGATTTACCCTCGAGTGGAACTATAGCCACACGACACGAACGATCCTAGCTACTTCATCGCGTATAAATACACTGCCGGAATTTTACTGATTATCATCACAGTGCCATACAATTGTTCACTTCTAAAGTGGGTAGCATGTTTAGTATACATTGTAGGTATGTAAATGGTATTGGTGGCTGGACTTATATATAAATCAATAGATATATTTTCAGTTCCTTCGAGACTAAATATTTGGCATACTCAAATACACTACACATTTCCGTAGTTGCACAACTTTCAAGTGACAAACCTTAAAATGACTTTACATTAATGGTAATAATACACAATACTCATAAATGCTACATTATTATCACGTTGTATCGGTTTTGAAGGAAATATATCATTGGCAAAAAACTCCAACCCCTTCTGTCTGCTATGCTATTTTTATTATCTACACAAGGCTTGTTATCCAATTTTTCTATACATTTGTTTACTTTCGTGACTTTTAACTTGTGGTGTTCCAAATTAGATGACACACCATTTTCCGTTATAAAGTATCTGATTAACCATTTGTGATATTATATGAAATATGTGCTTGCTAACTCTGGTATGTTTCTATATGCTTTATGCTTATAAGTTATGCTTATGTTATGATTAGTACTGTTCCTGCTTTTTAACATGCATGTACTATCTTCAAACTGTTTTCTGATTATTTTTGTAGTTTCTATGTGTAACAGAGCGCATGATTACTAGTCTTACGCTCAACAGATCGAGCTAAAGAGAAGTTCTCCATAGCCGAGCGAGATATTGCGGCTAGTATTTACCAGGGTTACATATGTACATAGTTTTTGCTGTATAATCCTACTTTTTCTACTAGCTTGCCTTTTACCTTGTTATTACTCTGTTTTTATACTTATGTTTGTCGTAAAAATCGCTCCACAGATCTAATGTTTCAATGTTATGCCATAAACGACAGTAAATAAAGATTCTTGTATCTTGTATCTTATACCAGTAAAGTTGGTGCCTGGGTATTGTTCTGATGTGACAGCTTATCATTTTGATATATACCGCTAAGTTAAATGGTACATAAACATCTGTTATTGACTTGAGAATATCGCTCAGTAGTATGGTATATATTTGTGTGTATATTGTCACAACAATGCAACCTGACATTGTGGACATGTTGACACAACCCTCGGGGATATGTTAGTCGGAACAACCCTGGGGGGACATGTAAGTAAGAACAACCCTCGGGGATATGTTAGTCGGAACAACCCGGGGGGGGGGGGCCATGTAAGTAAGAACACCCCTCGGGGATATGTTAGTCGGAACAACCCTGGAGGGGGGACATGTAAGTAAGAACAACCCTCGGGGATATGTTAGTCGGAACAACCCTTGGGGGACATGTAAGTAAGAACAACCCTCGGGGATATGTTAGTCGGAACAACCCTGGAGGGGGGACATGTAAGTAAGAACAACCCTCGGGGATATGTTAGTCGGAACAACCCTTGGGGGACATGTAAGTAA